GGGGGGGAAGAGTAGGTTCGATAGAACAACTAGGCGAGAGATCAACGAGGAAAGAGAAGACTTGAACAGGTAACATTAACTAGTCCTAAAAAAAAGTACAGGTATACCTCGTTTTATTGCATTTAGCAGATACTGTGTTGTGTTACAAACTGAAGGTTTGGGTCAACCCTGTGTCAAATATATCAGCATTCTAACATTTACTTACTTGATGTCTCTGTGTCACACTGGTGATCTGTGATCAGTGATTACAACTCAGATAATAGTTAACATTTTTTAGCAATAGGATACCCTTTTATTAAGATACGTGCTTTTTTGTAGACCTAATGTAATTGCACACTTAATAGACTATGGTGTAGTATAAATGCAGCTTTTATATGCATTGGAAACCAAAACATTAATTTGATTCACTTTATTGCGATGTTTGCTTTATTGCGGTCGCCTGGAACCAAGCCTGCAATATCTCCAAGCTGTGCCTCTATATAAAACACTCCACCCATCAATAGTAGAATATATATTCTTCTGCAGTGAACACAGGAACAGTCTCTAGAATGCACCATATACTAGGCCTTAAAACAAACCAATAAATTTAAAAGGATTGAAGTAATCAAATTAACGTGTTCAGACCACAGTGGAATGAAATTAAATGTCAACAGCAGGAAATATTTGGGAAACTCACGAATATGTAGCAATTAAACAATACAGTCTAAATAACTCAATAAGTCTAAATAAATAATTAATAATTCAAAGAAGAAATTCATAAGGAAATCAGAAAATACTTTGAGATAAATAAAAATGAAAAAACAACATGCCAAAATTTATGGGCTACAGCTAAAGCAATGCTTTAGAGGGAAGTTTATAGCTTTAAATGTATATGCTAAGAAAGAGGAAAGATCTCAAATTAATAACCTAGCCTATCTTGAAACATTGTAAGAAAAAGAGCAAACTAAACCTAAAGAAAGTATAAGAAAGGAAATGATAAAGATGAGAGAGGACATAATAAAATTAAATAAAGAATAGAAAATCAATAGAGAGTCAATGAAACCAAAAGCTGGTTCTTTAAAAACAACAAATAGGAGAAATGTTTAGCTACACTGACCAATTAAAAAAGAGAGAAGACTAGGGGTGCCTGGGTGATTCAGTCGGTTAAGCAAGCATCTGACTTTGGCTCAGGTCATGACCTCATGGTTCATGAGTTTGAGCCCCTCATTGGGCTCTGTGCTGACAGCTCGGAGCCTGGAACCTGCTTCAGATTCTGTGTCTCCATTCTCTCTCCCTGCCTCTCCCCCACTCACATTCTCTGTCTCTCAAAAAATAAATAAATGTTAAAAAAAAATTTTTAAACAAAAAATAAGTAAATAAAATAAAAATAAAAGAGAGAACAGCAAGGTTACTACAATCAGAAATAAAATTGGGGACATTACTACTGATCTTACAGAAATGGAATGGATTATAAAGGAGTACTATGAACAATTATATACCAATAAGTTAGATAACCTACATGAAATAGACAATTCCTAGAAAGAACTCTAGCAAAACTGACTTAAGAAATAGTCTGAATAGAACAGTAACTACTAAAAAGATTGAATTTAGTAATCACAAAAATACCTGGGAGAGGAGGGAACCAAGCCCAGGCTTCACTGCTGAATTCTACCAAATGTTCAAGGAAGAATTAATATCAGTTTTTCAAACCTACTCAAAAATTAGAAGAGGGAACACTTCCTAATTCATTCTGTGAGGCCAGCATCACCCTAATCTCAAAACTAGACAAAGATATCACAAGAAAGAGAAACTACAAGATACTATCTCTTAAAATAATGGACATAAAAATCCTTAACAAAATAGTAGCAAACCAAATCCAGCAACATATAATAAGAATTATACACCATTACCAAATGGGATTTTACTTGCAGAATGCAATGTTGGTTTCATATCCAAAAATCAATTAATGTAATATACTATATCAATAGAACAACAAAAAACCCATGTGATCATCTTGAGAGATGTAGAAAAAAAGCATTTGACAAAATCCAACACATTTAATGAGAATACTCAACAAACTGAGAATAGAAAGTTTCTCAACCTGCTAAAGAACACCTATAAAAATCCCAAAACAGCATATTTAGTAAGAAAGACTGAATGCTTCCCCCTAAAGTAGGGAACAAGTCAAGAATGTCCATTCTCAGCACTTCTGTTCAACATCATAATTGAGGTTCTAGCCAGGGCACTTAGGCAAGAAAAAGAAAACAAAAGGCTTCTGTATTGTGGAAAGGAAGAAGTAAAACTCTTTCTGTTCACAGATGACATGATATTTTATATAGAAAACCTAAGGATTTCCCTAGAAAACTACCATAGCTTATGAATGAATGAGTTCACCAGGGTTGCAGAGTACAAGATCATTATACAAAAATCAGTTGTATTTCTATACAGTTTCAATGAACAATCTAAAAATATTGGAGAAACAATTCCATCTACAGTAACATCAAAAAGAATAAAGTACATAGGAATAAATTTAACAAAAGAAGTACAACAAATTGAAAACTACAAAATATTGTTGAAAGACAAATAAATGGAAAAACATCCCATGTTCATGGATTAGATGACTTAATATTATTAAGGTGGAAACACTCTTTCAAATTGATACACAGATTCAACCCAACCCCTGTTAGAATGTCAGTTTAATTTTGTAGATACTGATAAGAGATTCTAAAATTAATGTGGAATTGCGAGGAATTCAGAATAGCCAAAATTTTTTCAGTTTCAAAACTGGCTACAAAAACCAGTAGACAATTCAGCATGGTGCTAACATAGTTATATAGGTTAGTGGAATAGAATTGAGGGCCCAGAAGTCAACCTGTACATCATTGGTCAGCAGTTTTTCAGTGAGGAAGCCAAGACTGTTCAAAGGGGGAAAGGAATCGTCTTTTCAAAATGGAACTAGGAGAACTGAATAACCACATACAAAGTGAATAAATTGGACTTTTCCAAAATTTTAAACTTTTATGCTTCATAGGACACTAATAAGAAAGTGAAAAGAAAATCCACAGAATGGGAGAAAATATTTGCAAATCACATATCTGATAAAGGACTTTTATCTAGAATATATAAAGAACTGTATGTGTCAGTAAGAAGAAAGAAAATTCAGTTGAAAAATGGGCAAATTATCAGAATAGACATTTCTCTAAAGAAGGTATGCAAATGGCCAGTGAGCCCAGGAAAAGATGCTTGACATCATTAGTCATTAGGGAAATGCAAATCAAAACTACAGTGACAGAAATACATCCTTATGATGGTCATAATCAAAGACAGATAACAATGTGTTGGTAAGGATGTTTAAGGGCCTGGCAGTTCCTCCAAAGGTTTATAAACATAGAGTTACCATATCACCTAGCAATTCCACTGGTTAGGTATTCTATGTCCAAGAGAGATGAACACACATGTCCACACTAAAGCTTATATGTGAATATTCGTAACAGGATTATTTATAACAGCCAAAAGGTGGAAACAAGCCAAATATCTATCAACTGATGAGTGAATAAACAAAATGTAGTATAATCCACACAGTGGAGTCCTATTCAGTCTTAAAAAGGAGTGAAATGCTGATGCATGCTACGACATGGGTGAACCTTGCAAACATTATACCAAGTGAAAGAATCCAGACACAAAAGACCATATTACATGATTCATTTATATGAGGTTACCAGAATAGGCAGATCTTTAGAGACAGAAAGTGGATTAGTGGTTGCTTAGAGGTAGAGGGAATGCTGAAATAGGGAAGGGTGATAGGTAGCTACAGGATATGGGATTGATTTTTTGAGGTAGTAAAAATGATCTAAAATTGGCGACAGTTGCAGATATGTGCAAACATAAAAGCCAGCATGTTGTATACTTTAGGCAGGAGTGTAGATAGTTTGCTTTGGCAGGAAGGCAGCATGTGTGGGTGCAGATATTGGCAGGTGGGTAGGTGCAACAGGGGCAGCTTATAGAGTCTCCAACTTTTTAAATCCTCACATCAGCTCTTTGAGTTAGGCACTATCGTTATCCCCATTTACAGATGAGCAAACAGAAGTTATGTAAAATGATTTGAGTCCGTTTCACAAAGGAATATGCAGAGGGTATAGAAAGAAACCTGCTTTGGGGACGTCAGTGCTGCCGTTGACATTTCCGATTGGTGATTGAAAATCTTAGTTCTGTTTTATTTAAGAAAACAAAGATACAATCTGAGACTCCCCTCCCCGCCCTGATTTTTTTTTTTTTTTTTTTTTTTTTTGGTAAATATTTCTCTATCTTTAAAGCAGGTTTTCTTCCTAAAATAACCACAGAAAAGGCTAGAAAGCTATCTGATGCTAACAGGCCAATTATTGTCCTAAATTGCTGTTCTTACTATGAAAACCAGTTTCTAAGAAGAGAAGAAATGCCCCTGCCATCCTTTCCTTCATGATATTTAGATTTAGGAATCTAAATCTTTATTGAAGAGTACAACTACTGTGCTATTATGGGTTGTAGTCTGTCTCTAATCACTAAATTTGCAGTTTGTGCTTAAGGAGTCCCAGCCCTACTAGGGGCTTCTGCCCAATATATTGCTAAGGAAAATTTCACCGGGTTTTAAATAAGCCTAAGGAAGGGTGTTGAGCACTAGTTATGAGCAAAGAAAAATATGCAAGATGACCTTTCTTGTGACTCAGTTTGCTTCTACCATAGGTGGGAGGAGGGTGTAATTGTTGAGGAACACACAGTATTGTTTTATGAAACATTGTGAATTTAAAATATATTTATATTAATATTGTCTGTAGGTCCTTTCCAGTCTCAGAAAAAGAACTTATTCCACAAAATTGTCAGCAAATATAAGCACAAAAAGGAGAAGCCTAATGTTCCGGAAAAAGGTATTGGTGCCTTCCATCCTCCATCAAGGTTTCTTGGCCACCTCCATTGTGAACCATCTTTGAGTAACGCTTCTGTGCACCACCTTTGCCTTTTCCTCCCCTTGGCTTGCTTCAGTGTCATCGGCTCCTAATGCAGGCATATTCATTATTTCTAGACTCCACAGCTAATTGCAAAGAGAGATCTCCTTCACTCAGGTTCCTACTCAAATCCCGTAATGTCTCTATTTTCAGCGTTCCATATGAATCCTAAAATTGCTTTGTTTTCATCCGTATTTGGTGCATTTTGTAACTTAGTCTTCTTGAGCTCTTATCCACTTATTTTCTTCGACTTTTCTTGTTTTTCTCATGTTTGGCAGCCATCAAAGCAGGACCACGTTTTCCTATCTCCTGAAACCTTAAGAGTTCCCTATTCATATGAAAGTGCCACCATTTCTGTACTCTCTCTGACCCTTGAGGATTCTTATCTAGGAGGATTCCACTCCTAAGTCGTAACCCATCTTTTTCCAATCTATATTACTTCGTTTGCCAGACTCTTCCCACCCCCTTCAGTCACATAACTTATTTCCAGAGGGCACTAGAGACGCACTGCCCTCCACCATCTCTTCACTCTGAGCATCTATCTTATTGTTATGATTTTGATGGGCCCTTGAACCTCTTCAAGGCTCATCTGAAGATTTCTGCCTTCTCATAGTTCAGGACTCCTATTCTTTCACACAAAAGACAAATGTTCCCATCTGGTTCAGTACAGCCACGTGGCCTGGAAGTTAGGCTTTCTTTAGCATCGCCCTGCATGTTACTTTCGTGACTATGAGCCTACTCATCCGATGCCCATTTGCATTCTACTTGCATGGCCACTTGTGAAGCCTTTTATGTTTCTGGAATGAGGCTTAAAATGCACCTGTCTTCCATGTGTAGACATATGTGCCTCCGTGTTCCTATGTGTAACCTTTTACTTAATTTGGGTTTTATTTTCACCTCCACTCTAGCCTCTTAGTTTTGTATGTTACTATTTTTTGCTCTGCTTCCAGTAGAGAAACATCACTTTTCAGGTAAAAATGTTGGCTTTTATCATTCCCTTTGAACTGATCTTCAGTTATCTTAAAGTCATAGAAATTATCCAGCAGTGTGATTTCATAAAAGGCGAATTTGTTTATTTTTAATCCATTTCCTGTATAGCCTGATTATTTTAGTTGGCAAATGTCATTTTGAAAATTAAATAATTAAAATAAAACTCTGCTTCATTTGTGTGATAATGTGTCCTATATAAGCTCTTAAGTGTAGTCTTATTTTTATAGTGTATGTGTCTATCCTGGGAATAGAGTTTCACTTTCTTTCTCTCATTGTTTTTAGGAAGTGGGGATAAATGGTCAAACAAGCAACTCTTCTTGGATGCCATTCACCCTACAGAAGGTAAAAGAAGCAATACCCTTTGTATCATTTCGGGTAGTCTGTTTTGGAAAGGTTTAAAAAGGCATAATTTATATAGGCTCAGCCAACAGCACTATACCTGAGGGCTCATAATTGTGTTGTTTTAAATTTTCAAATCAACTGACAGATTTTTGACCCTGCTAAGGGTCAGGCAGTGTGTCCTGTGGAGCTTAATTTGTCAAGGGGGGCACTTAAAACTTTGAACCACATTCACTAGAAATTAGAGTTTCCCATAATTAAATATATTCAATATTGCATTCATGTTGCAGGCAGGTGCTTACAGGAGTCAGAATAGAGCCAGCATAGGGTTTTCCTGGTTGGCTGGACGTGGGCATGTCAGCAGCGTTCCTGTCCTGAACTTTGCCCAGCCCACCTCTCAGTACCCCTAAATATGTTCTAATGAATGCTCCAGAGGCTTATGGATAGCCAAGGAAAATTCCATGTTGATTAACATAACGTTACAGTTCCTAGGTGCAGATTTTACTTCAAAATTTCCCACAGCCCTATTTACTTGTGATGTGTACCTAATTTCTGTTAAATATTGAACCCTCTGGTGAGTACTCATTTCTGTGATGTGTAGGTAGCTGCCCTCTTCTTCCCATTGATTCCTCTTTTTTTTTTTTTTTCCATTGTAGCCATTTTTAAGGAGCTGAACGTTTTGGTAGCGCTTAATCAGGAGTCGCTTCATTTAAAACCTAGAAGCAATCTTAAAGCTCGTTAAGTCCAACCTCTTTGATTTACTTATGACCAGAAAGGGGAACTTAATGAAGAAGTCCACATCTCTTGATTCCCAGATACACTCTCATTTGTATCCTGAAAGAGAGAAGAAAATTAAAATGCACATTTGGCCTAAGTCATTTATCAAAAACACTCATATGTTAAAGATATTTCTCAAAAATATTCAAACTTGGGTTTATAACAAACATGAAATTGTTTGTATTCGGTAGGCACAGCTCACATGAGCCAGATGTCTGCTTTTATGTCCTTGCACTTTTACAAAAACTGCCAGCAGTGTATCTGTTCTCTGACCTGTTACCTCACGTTCACCACCTCTCCAGGGTATTGTTTGTGCTCTTAGCTGGCACAGTCAAATGTGAATTGTTGTGCTGGTCTCAGCATTAAATGCTAACATCCAAAATGTGATATATATTAGCTCTTGTGTATTTTAAAGATATATTCTGCTCACACTTGGTAAATGTAAGGCACTGAGGAACAGTCAAAGAAGTCTAAGAGGCACTTAAGACCATATTACCCTTTACTTGGAATGACACTGTTCTAAATGTTTTCTTTTTTAAAGAATGAAACCGTGTCTCATGTAGAACATGGTATCATAGCACGTGCATTGTGGTAGAAACAATGAATCAGATTGGAATCAGGAGACCTGGGTGTTAGTCTTAGATCTGCCACTACTGAGCAGTTTTCAGCGGGACAAATTGTGTTTAACCTCACTAGGTTCACTCTCCGTATGGGTACCAAGTGTGTGTGTGATGCGTGTGTTTAGGGCTGGGGTGAATGATGAGAGGTAGTGATACATCAACCTCAGATGTCCTTTCCCCACTCCTCCTTGCATTATTACCGTGGTATGAAGTGGGTTGATGAAAGTTACCTTATTCTGCAGCCCTAATTCTGCCCTATAGGGGGCAGAAAAGTAAATCAATTTCAGTCTTCTGGGCAGTCCCAAGGGTTTAGTGGGACTAGAGCTATTATTGGTGCTATTATATTTATCATTAATGTATATGAATACATCATAAACTTGGAAGAACATGCACTGAAAATTGCTTGGCATGGAATGCATATTCATTTTATGTGGCCAGGAAAAAAGGAATCCGTTTGTGTATCAGAAATTACCAGTAATTTAAAGTGACCTTTTTTGGCTATTTATTTTCATACCTTCCCCTGTATTTCCTTGTTCAGGTGGTGACTGTGTACTTTGTGAATTATCTAGGCCCTTTACTTCATCCTCTTTCACCTATGGTCATACCATTGCTTGTTAAAACTTTACCTTGGGAGAGTACAAATACATAAGGATGGAAGATGAAACTGTTAATTGGGAGAATTTTAATACATGTTGGCCATCCTAGGCAGAGGTTAGACAGGAGTTGTTCGTAGCTGATGCCTATACTAGTTCATTCAACTGAGGGCACGCAGCTGTGAGCTGTTCCAGACTTTGGTTCAGAGGGGATGACTTAAAGTTTACTATGCTTTCTTGGCATCATGCTGAGTATAACTTTTTTCCCAAAATTCATTTTTTCCCCAAAATATCAGAAATCTTTAGGTGCTTAGAAATCACATCTGCCGTTTAAATGCTAAGCCTATAATCTGTTTTAAGCATTTTCCCCTATGCTTTTAAAATTCAAAATCACCAAGCCATTTCTTGAAACTTTTGCAGATCATAAAAAAAGATTGCCTATCAGCCTAGAATTAAAGGTTAACTTTTCAGATAAACCAGGGTGACTTGTATCTGCCACTGTGTTTATCTTTCTACCAAGTTATGGTGTCCAGTGCTCGTGCTTAAGCTGGAGGTTTCTAACTGTCATAATAATGATGATGATAATTAATACTTAATATTACTTTATAGTTTCCTGAGGGCTTTCACAATAGTTTTTCTAAAACTAATCTTGGCAGGAGACCCAGTGAATTCAGGAGGGCTTATTAGCCCCAAATACGTGATAAAGAAATGAAGCCTGACCAACATAAGCGGGAAAGGAAGAAACCAGCACTCTTTCCACTAAAGTACATTGGCGGCTTACAGTTTGGGATTTTCAGGCATACCTGAGCCCCTCATTTGGCTCAGATGATGCTATTATAAATGGCATCTTAAAAGGAAAAAAATAAAACAACTCGAACCTTAGACTAAAAATCTCAAGATTAGTTCCCTTTGCAGTGTATGAGTACGATTACAGGGGAGAAAAAGTATTTAGAGTTAAATTTTCAAACATGATCCACAACACTCAGATGAACCTTGATCTCTTTTCTCAAGTTCAAAAGAGTTGCTATGTAACTCCAGCAAGGTCTCCTGGGATCTTAGATAAGGCTCATTCATTTGATTCTTTTTTCTGTGTTCCATTCAGCATCTGACTACATTTTCAACTCAAGGGAGGCCAACCAAAGGCAGTGAGATTCCAGATTTGGCTATAATAATTTCAATGCAAGTTTGATCCCCCTCGTTGGAATGTGAATTCATGACTCTGGAGCACTCTGGTGGACTCCTGAGGTTCAGTACAAGCACAGTGCTGCTATCTCAAAAAATTTACCCCACATTTTGGGAGCAGAGTTTGGAAAACAAGACAGTCTCTTATTGCCACATTCCTCATGTTGCTCCAGGAGTGAGCTCACATTATCTCTCTCAGATGATACGCTCCAAGTGTGTTAATGATTATCGTGGAGTGTAAAAACTAGCCCTGTGGACTTGTTTTGCAGTGCTTGGGTAGGTTTGTGTGTTCAATTACAAGCCGAAAGAGAAATGACTAATTTGTTTTTAGAGGACAAAAGCCTTTCTTTTCTCACATGTCCATTAGTCTGGCGGAAAGGACAAAAAAGGAACTGGCTTGCTGTTCCTTGGTGCTCAGCTTCAGGCTGTTTTTGTCTCTGAGCTTTTTCCATTTCCTGTCTCTCACCACCAGGCCTTCCTTTGCTTTGCTAACGTTGCTGGGCTCAGATGTACTGTCGTGTCCCACACAACCACTTCTTTGACTTAGCCTTACCTGCCTTCCCCAATTCTTCTTCTTAGGATAGGGTTCTTTCTGAGTGCTGACCCTGAAGGGTATCATTGGTCCTGGCCTCCAGACAGCACAGGATGTTTTGCGGATAGGTAGCTCCTGGGTCAAAGCACGGGGCAGACTCACCCTTATTCCCTTTTCCAAATTCTAACAAGATCTCATCACGTACCTCTTCAAATGTGGATGATCTGCAGGCCCCATGATTGCTTCCTGATCTGGCATTAAGTTTAGAGGAGACAATATCTAGAAAGGTGACATTGCCTCCTTTTTGGGGATTTTTGAGAATCTTCGGTGTATTCTCACATTTTGCCTCTTCCAGTTGGCCTGCAACCTGATTCACTCCTTTTCTGTGTCCTAGTATACCAACCTCTGGGACTTTGATTGTTCGTGTCTCTTGGCCAGTCTCCCTTCAATGCCCCCGGCATCTTGTCTGCTGGTTTCTGAGCTTCCCCTCGTCCCAGTCTGCTTTTAGGCCTTACTCTACCTCCCTTTTGCAATCCCTTTGCAGCCATCCCCTTGGCTTCTTACTGTGTTTTTACCAATTCATCTGGAATATATAGGAAATGGAGCAACTACTGAAAAGAAATGAAACCGTTTGAAGGTTTACCACAAGCAAGAGAACTAACTGTCCTTATCAAGGGTGTACTTATCCCTCACCTTAAGATTCTGGAGCTGGCTGGAGGCTGCCTAGGCCCCTGATTCTGGGTAGCACATGAAAAGAAATTTGGGGCTGATGGATCCTTTAGAGCTCATCTAGACCAACCTCCATCTGTACATGAAGAAACTGAGACCCATGGTTCTGCAGTTAATAAATTAAAAAATCAAGAGTAGAATCCAGGTCTTTGTGTAGAAATTAGCTCATCTTCTCCTAAACCACTTGGTCTTTTCTTTGACCTCCTGGGTTCCTTCTTTCTGTAAGCAGTTCTTCTGATGTAATTCACCCTTCATCTTTGTAACCCTGCTACATCCTTATTTCCACAAGTTCTAGATTTTCCTAGGAAGGAGAAGAGGGAAGAGGTTAGTGCTTTTTCTGGAAGGGCCGTCTATAATGTTGTGATCATACTGGAGGGGTGATTAACATTCCCCCCTCTAACTAGAAGGGACAACTGATGGATCTGGATAAGAAACTAGATAAAGTTTGAAGCTTGTGAATATCTAATAGAGGCTATTTATGCTCATTGTAAACTCAGATTGTAGCTTCTTTATACCTATAGGAGGCTTTGAATTTCAAGGCTAATGAAGAGTCATGGAATATTTCTTCCTTGGAGCATTCTAACCAAATTATCTTTTATTTTGCTGGCAGCTTTTATTGAAGTTTAAACTAAAAAAAAAAAAAAAAAAAAATCTTAAGATACATAACAGCACTGGCCTATGGTAAGCTAAATATCAAAGTATAAATACACCAAGACTGTTTCCTGGGTACAGATCTATAATGTAAAAGGAGCCTTTTTCCTAATTTTTGATTACTTGCTTGAAAAGATATTTGGGAGCAATGCCAAGTAGTTTCTTTTTAATAACTATTATCTTAAGCCAGTTCCCCACATAGCCATCTATTATGCTATATTGAGGTAAGGCCAAGCCACAAATCATGGTATGATTTCTGCCTTATATCCTTTCTTTTGATGTAATTGAAATGATTTCCCACTTGTTTTGGAGTGGGAAACCTGGAATCAATCTCTTGAGGGCAGAGATCTTACAAATTCATAGCCCTCCTTTCTCCAGGATGTACCTAGCCTCATTAAAGACCTAGATGAAAATTGTTAAGTGAAGCCTATGCAAGTGTTTATGCCAGCATGTGCATTTTTTCACATCCTGAATCATTCTCATTCTGCTCTCCTCCTCTTCTTTTAGCTTTCTTTCCCTCCTGTGCCCTACATACTGTTGTATTTCCAAGGCCTACCTCCAGATCCACCTGCTGACCAGCACCTTCAGTTTTCTCCTCCAGTTCAGTTTGCACCAAGCATGTCATGTCAGACCTTGACTTCCAGAGCCACACTCCCCTCTTTGTCAGAAACTGTTTCTGTGCCTGTCTTAAGAGATTGGATGGCTTTAAAATGGAAAGATGCCTCCCTTCCCTGCTTAAAAGCCCTTAGAGCACTGGAATTTAAAAAAAGTAAAGAAAGTTCCAATCGCTAAACTGGACTACATGTATATATTCTTAAAAGCTGTACTCCTATCTACATTTACTTGTCTTTTATTTTATTTAATTTTTTTTAGTTTATTTATTTATTTTGAGAGAGACAGACCACACAAGTGAAGGAAAGTCAGAGAGGGAGACAGAGAATCCCAAGCACGCTCCGTGCCACTAGTGCAGAGTCTGACACAGGGCTTGAACTCACAAAACCAAGGGTCGGACACTTAACTGACTGAGCCACCCAGGCGCCCCTACTTGTCTCACTGTTAAACTGGGAGCAAGGAGAATGAACTCCTGGAGAAATGAGGATATAAGAAGGGATACAGGCACCCCCAGCCTGGCTGAGCTGGGAGCAAGTGTGCTTCTCACTCTTGACGCAGTGACGCTTAGGTACAAGAGTGTGCTGCTGAGTGACTTACTGGGATTACAGTTAGAATCTGGAGAAGCTAAAGTAAACCTTCCCAGGAGCCCTGCTGCCCTGTGGTCCTTCGTTAAGTTATCTCACTGAGCACTTTCCCTGCTTCTAGAATTCAGTGACAGAGTGTTTCATTACATGCTAGCATCACCAGTGTCTGTCACGTCCTTCCTGAGCATTCTATACAGGTAAAAGAAGGTCAGGCCTCACAGTTTCTTTTCTGATCAGTCCAGCCCGGTGATGGAAAGCAAATGTCCCAATGATAACTGTGAATTTAAGAAGCACATATCTGGGGAGCCCAAGTGGCTCAGTCAGTTAAGCGTCTGACTCTTGATTTTGGCTCAGGTCATGATCTCATGGTTTGTGAGATCGAGCCCCGTGTCAGGCTCTGCGCTGACAGTGCGGATCCTGCTTGGGATTCTCTCCCCACTCCTCCCCCACGTTCTCTCCCTCAAAATAAATAAATAAACTTAAAAATAAAAAAGAAGCACATATTTAATTAATCTCAGTGTCCTCAGAAGAAGAGAAACTTGTTTATCATCTTCTCCAGACTAGGTGGCCAAGGGAATCTCAAATAGGGACCCCGACCACATGTAGAAATTACAGTCTGTTGGGACACAATTCACTCAGATTCACATATGCTATCTTTCCCACCAACCTGCGAGATCCAAACTCTTAGAAAATGTTGTTCTGATGGCCTCTTGGTTCAGTATTCTGTTAAAAGAGAGAGAGGGCATCTTAATCCTGTGTACTTAATTTATCAAAGCAAACATAAATAAGTATTTTGGTTGAAAATCACGGGCAGTGTTTTATTTCTTTTTCTCATCAGTACTTTGAAAACTCCTAGGTTCTCCATTCAGATAGCTTGGACATTGAGAAATGTTTCTTTCCAAGAGCAATGTTGATGTCTTGTGTTTTTTTTGTGTAATCATATATGATCTGTCTGTCCTATTTCAGCCATATTTTCAGAAGACAAAAACACCACAGAGCCTGCTCATAAGGTTAAAAATGCCCTATCCATTCCCAACACTCCAGAGCCAACAACAACTCAAGAACCCTTGGTGGGCAGCCAAAAGAGAAAAGCAAGGAAAACCAAGATCACTCACCTTGTCAGGACAGCAGATGGCCGGGTGTCACCAGCAGGAGGTACTTTGGGTAAGAAGAGGGAGCCTTAAATGAGAGATAACCAGAGCAAGCCGGTGACTGTCATGGCCCCATTGGCCAGCAAATGACGATAAGCCAAGTATGGGTCCTCATTGGAAAAGGGGTCTGTTCTGTGGGTTTGGTCATAGTAACATTTTCTTTCTCTGGATCTCCTTGAGAGCTAGTTTTCCACAGACTCCCAAATGTACAAAATGTGCACATTTTAAAATCACAGCTCTTTTTCCAAAAGCATTCTTAGAAAAGAAAGGTAATTTTTAGGACTGTGTGTTTCTCCTTCTCTTTCTCAGCATGCACAAAAATAGTCTTCATTAAGTAAATTCCCAGAGATCCTAGACTTTTAAAAATACTAGCTGAATCAGTGTTTCGTCCTGGTTCATTGTTTAAGTCACTACAAACCATATTATCAAATATTTCAACCAATGGATTAAGGAACCTTAGAAAGCATCCAGTCCTTCCTCTAAAGCTGACTCAGACCACTGAGGGAGCCTGAGAATGCTCCTGGATTTCTTGAGTTCTCTGGGCTAATCTTGAACTAGATCTGAACTTACTGTGAGTTTCTCCATGTTCAGTCATGGCCTGTGGTCTATTGCTGTTTCTCATGGCCTCCATGGCAGCAGAATTGCCAGAGGGACCCAAGTTAAGGAATGGAGTCAGAGAGTGACACTGAGCAATCCCCTCAGATCTTGGGGTGTCATTAGTGATCTTAGCTGTTATTGCCTTTTTTCTGCCTTTCAGCACCCCCAGCATCTCATTCCATCAGCTTTGAGTTATCCCTCCCCCTTCCCTAATCCAGTTTCCAGAAAAAGGACACAGGTCCATAATGAATTCTGTAAATAGAAAAAGAACGTTTAGAGCAAAGGAAAAACAAGAGTGAAAGACAAACCAAGAAACAGACTCTTAACTATTAGAGAACAGACTCATGGTTACCAGAGGGAGGTGGGTGGGGGGATGGATGAAACAGGTGAGGGGGAGTAAAGAGTACAGTTACCGTGATGAAAAACTAATAAAATGTCTAAAAAAATGTTTAAATGAGTATTTTTTGAGAGGGATATTTTAAAATACCTGATTAAGGTTAATGTAATTGCAAATAAAGATTCATTGCTGGAATAGAATAGGAGGACAATTAGTGAGTTTTGTGCACATTTTCTTGTGTTTAGCATATGCAGATTGTTAGGGCAGTAAAGCACATTAAATACCCCCATTTATATAAGAGATGAAGATCAGAGATGTAGGGTTTGGTTTTTGAATACAGTGGACTACTTAGGTAGAAGATAAGGACTAGAATCTATTTTTCCTGATATTTAGTCCGGCAGGCCTGTTGCCCCTTCCCTTTCCACTCTGGGTTCTGTTCTGTGATTTTGATTTTTTTTTTTTAATGTTTGTTTATTTTTGAGAGAGAGAGACAGAGAGCAAGTGGGAAAGAGGCCGAGAGAGAGGAAGACACAGAATCTGAAGCAGGCTCCAGGCTCTGAGCTGTCAGCACAGAGCCTAATAATGGGGCTCGAACCCACAAACCCCTGAGCTGAAGTCGGATGCTTAATTGACTGAGCCACCCAGGTGCCCCTGTGATTTTGATTTTATAAGTTGTTATAGCCTCATTTTCACTTACAGAAAGAGTGGAAGAACGTAGAAAATATTACCTTCATGTAGAAAAAGCACATAGTACTGTCATGTCCTAGTATAGGACATTTATGTTCTTTATCAGTTGCTTTCTATTTTTAAAATGTTTTAAAAACCATGATAAAGATTCCTCCTCCTTTATAATGGCCATGTAATCTAGAAAGTGTACTTCTTCCCTGTAGGTAGATTTTCATAGCATTTAGCACCTCTTTGTAAATACCAGGGGGCCCTTTGTCTTCTTTCCAGTAGGTCTTCAGAACACAAATAACAACTTGGGATCTCACTGGGATTAGTTCAGTGCTGGTGATCCTAAGTGTTGGTGTCACAGCGTACCGAGTGTACAAGTTGCCATTGCAGGGCATCCTACGGCTTCATCAGAAACGTTTGCGCACTTGGGTCTTAGGGGCTTTGTACAGCATCCACAGGCCCCTTTGCAGAAGTCCCATAGGTTTTATTTTGGCCAAAGCCCCTTTTTCCCTCTCACTCTGAGACTGACCTGTTCTTTGACCTTGAATAAAACTCAGCTTCTCTTCCACCTAGCTTCAGGGCATAGCACTGTCCATAGTTGCCACTGAGCTTAATAAAAGAGTTTTGTTACCGTGGGAGCAGAAAATCCTTGATAAAAGCCTTGGTATTTGATGGATGACAAAAGTGAACAAAGAATATTAGCTCATTTCACATGGTCTGCACAGAGTTTTCTCTGTGTCCCTCCTCTGGAGAGAACATGGTGATCCTCCTGTGATCAATTTCCCTGTCGTTACAGATGACAAACCAAAGGAACAACTGCAGAGGAGTCTCCCTAAAGTGACCGAGTCCGGCTGCGGTGATGACTGCTCACACAACACTGAGGCCGCGGAGACGCGGAGCAGCACTCCGGAGATGCCAGCCGTGTCTGCGTTCTTCAGTCTCGCCGCGCTGGCTGAAGTGGCCGCCATGGAGAACGTACACAGGTGAGTGGTGTGCTCCCCCAGGATTTGGGGAGTCCCGTTCATCCTCACTCCTGGGCACGGAAGAGGGATGGAGAGAGCAATGTGGAAGCCGAATCACTCTCTCTGATGTGATTTGTGGCCTTTTTCACAATGCTTTGGGGTTCACGAGACTTGGTTCAAGAGCAAGTTATGTGACATGTTCCAAAAGCATATGTCCTAATTAGCAGTGTGGGAAAATATAAGATAATATAGTCAGCCAGGTATTGCATTTTAAATATACTATCCTGTGGCTAAACTTCATTTCCATAAAAACCTGAAAGAGCAGAGAAGCAATATTCTCTAATCATTAAGTTGGAGCTTCGAGGTCAGGCTTCAGAGCTGGGTTTGAGCCCTACATCCTTCACCTGTAAATTGCAAGGTCTTGAGCAAGATCGATCATTCACCTCTCTATCCTTCAGTTTTGCTTCTATAAAATGGGTGTAAGTGACACTCATTTCATAGAGATGTTATGTGGAATGAACTAATATCCCAGTGCTGGTACATGGTAAATGCCCTGGTTAACGATGGTGTTGGCAGCAGTCGTGATGGGAGTGGAAGAAAACTGTGGTCAGGAAAAAGCGTCTTGGCATCTGACTCATGGACGGCAGAAGGTCTGGATTTTTCTTTAACTGTCAGTTTGCTACAAAGTCATTTCTCTCGGTCTCGGTTTTCTCATCTTCCATGGAGCATAATGATAGCCCCAAAGAATCACAGAGCTGTAAGGATCACGTGAGATCATAAATCTGAAAGGCTTTTGAACTCAGTAAAGCCTCACAGAAAGTATATTAAAGTTCTACGTGTATAATTGGGACTCTACTATTTAATGGATCCTTTGGGAAAGCAAAAATAGCCATTTGTAAATTTGGGTATTTCGTACTTTTATTCAAAGTGGATTACCCACAGGTGAGCTACTTTCCCAGACTTCCGTCTTCAGTACAAAAGTTTTAAATCTAGCACAACTTCCATACCCTCCTGTTGGGCTGCACTGTCCCTTTCCACATCCAGGTTCAGGAGGCCCTTTACCTGTCATGTTACAGTTCTAGTGCTTCCTCACAGATAGCCTCTAGATAGTTCCAAGAAGTCAAATTCCTTTTCCTGTGTGTACTGTAAGTGCCTAATGGCAAGAGAATGCTGACAGACCTTGTTAAAATCTGCTCAAATCTCTGAAGGAGATCATGCACAGATACCTCCACTCATACAGAGGACAGACTCCTACACGTGTGAGAAGAATGAAATGCATGCCTGCATGTTACTAAGTGTCCCCATAAATTTCAGATAAAAGGCAATGTAAAAATTCGGAGAGGATCGTAATGCAGGGCTCAGCAAGGTCTACCACACAGTCACCCGGTGCTGCCGCCAGCATCCCCTTCCAGACACAACTGTGGTCACACCCTGGCTCTGTTAACCAACCTTCCGTGACTTCCAGTTTGCAACAGCAGAAAGCCTCACCAAACCTTCCCACTCTCCTCTCTGCCCTGCAATCACGTGGGATCAGTTGCTGCCACCTGGATAAGCCGGGTTCTTGCCTGTGTGCCTCCCCGTCTCCACGAACTCCTGGTTCTCCTTCCGTCGCTAGTCCTGTTTTCTGCTCTGTGTCTCCCTCCTGAAGTCCCTGCATACTTTCTATTCATGCTCTCTGAGACCAGCTGCCACACTGGGCTGTAATTATTCCTTGATATGTCTGTCTCTTGAATTTTGAAAGCAGAGCGCTGGTTTTAATCCTCACATCCCCAGCTTCCTTAGTTCCTGCTACATCAATGGATGAATGAAAAAATGAATGGGTGAATGAATAGATGAGATGTTCTTAAAGTATGACCACCTACGTTCACTAGCAAGCATAGAAAAAAGATTCTTTTTTTTAAATCTCCCATTAGACAGAACAATATTGCATACTAGAATCTTACTATCAATCTCATAAATGGTTAGTGTTCTTAATATCTACAAAAACAGATCCCCCTTAAGGGCCCTTACCTGTTAAAGCAGAACCTCCAGACTGCCATCTACCTGCAGGCTTAATGTACTTTTACCTGGGTTGCACACCCCATTGACTATTGTTTTCGCATCACCTAGGTTCATAATTTTGAGGGTGATGAGCAGAGTTGGGGTGGAAACATATTACCTGCATTCTTGCCAGGAGAAATCCTAATGTTAGGTTCAGAAACCTGACAGAGAAAGGCAGTTTTGCAAAATGCAGGAAATAGGAAGTTGGAATAAACCTTCATTGAGAGCCTGTTTGTTTACTAGGACTTCCATAAGGGGAAAGCTCATTAAACTGAGTCCTAAAATGAGCCCTGCCGGGTGGGTCTTTCTGATCCCTTTTTAACGAAACTGCAGACCATTAACTTGCCAAGAACCCACATCTAAACTGAGTTAAGATTTGAACTAAGGTCTTTGAACTCCGGTGCCTTTGCCTTTGCTCAGACATGCTGCTTAAGCAATCATCTGTCATGTCCTAGAAAGTCACGAAGAGTCTCACCGACCCTTACGCTGGGAACGGCAGCATCCGTTATTTGTAGCCATTCTGGGCTCCCCCCTCCTTTGCTTTTGTTTTCTAATTAAACTGGGCTTTCACCCTAGTTGCTCTCTGTCCCTGTTGCTCTTTTTTTTATACTGTACTTTTCATCTTTCACTTTTTTTTCTTCTTCTGTTTCCTTTTTTCAATACTTAATTAAAATTCTTTTAGCTTTTGTAATATTGTTACATATTCAGTCGTAAAGGTAAAAAAATGGCATTTTAATTTCATCTTTCTTGAACAAAGAGTTGAACATATTGAACAGTTGGTGCTTACAGCATCCCCACATGACTGAACAGATTAATCCAGAGGTTTGATTATAGCACATGTTTTGTTTTTCTGAAATCCTAGTATCTGAGGCTAAGTGATTATTGGATTCTGAAATCCCCAAATGTTGTAATTTATCTACATTATTTTTGTGTGTGTGCATCAAGAGAAAGAAACTTGGATTTAGTTGTAAAAAAGGTATAATTTGAATTTCTAAAAAGCTGCTTTTGTTCCGTGTCATCTGAAGAAGATACAATGTGGAAAGGGTCAGGCCACTGGAAGCCTTGCTGCTGCATCACAGATTTTCAGCCCAGCGCTGTGCAACACAGACCACTGTAGGCCAGAGCAGTGAGCGCACCTTGTCCGGTCTTTGGTAGGCCTGTTGGGGAATGTCAGGGAGGTGCACAAACCTGTCTTTTTAGAATGAGAAGCTCTGTGGAAATTAACCAAGAATTTGAAGGGTTCTCTTACAACTGTGAAGTAAATTTTTTCCTACTCATTAAACAAAAGCAGAATAAAAAATCGGCTAAGTTTGGTGTAGTTCAATCCAAATGATGGTTATTTATATGAATTTTCTTGTCTAGAGTTCTGTCTCTGCACATGTTGATTTTACCCAAATTGTGCGGGTTTTCTCACACTTTAAAGACGAGTCACTGCCTGCCTCCTTCCCTTGCACTCTTGCTCTCCATGTGCCTGTGAGACTTTTCTTTAGTTAGGAGGGTTTCAGTGTTTTCATTCATTTGTGTTAGGGTCACAGGCCTCTGGTCTCCAGCCATTGCTTTAATTACACTTAAGTTTTAATATTACAGGCACCTGGGCAGCTCACTTGGTTAAGCGTCCCACTGTTGGTTTCAGCTCCGGTCATGATCTCACAAGTCGTGAGTTTGAGCTCCACATGAGAGGCCCTGTGCTGACAGCATGGAGCCTGCTTGGGATTCTTGGTCTCCCTCTGTCTCTGCCCCTCCCCCCCCCAAAATAAATAAATAAACACTTAAATAAATAAATTGTGTTTATTATTATATGTCTTAGGAAATAATCCTGGAGGTTATCAATTAGTAGAGGAGAATTTTCCCCTTGGGCAGCTTGAGGAAAGGAATGGGTCCTGTTTTAATATCAGTGGATCAAGAGACTATTGTCTTAGAACCACTGCCCTTGACTAAAAGTTTTCCACTTCTTAGGGAGTTGCCCCAAATCTGTTGGTGCTTCAGATTTCATCTCTGCAAAATGGAGATGGTTGTTTGGGACACAGTGTGTTGTTGAGTCATGTGAGGTGAACTGAGATAAGAAGTTTTTCAAAAAACAATAAAAGCAGCAGCTAACAGTTTAAATAGCATCAGTAACAAGTCAACATTAGCTGTTAAACAAGATATTGGAAAGCTCTTATTGGTTACTCATCATCCTCTCCTGTGTCGGATAACATACTCTAAGTGGGTGATTTCTTTTGTTCTTCCTCTTGTTTTGCAGAGGTCAGAGGTCCACTCCGCTCACCCATGATGGACAGCCAAAAGAAATGCCACAGGCTCCTGTACTTATTTCCTGCGCTGACCAGTGAAGCGCCCTTTAATTGTAAAACATTGTGCTTTACCTACTACCCTAGCCTTGTCTTTACGGAGGGATGCTAGTGAGTCCATGTGGTGGAAAATATAGACTGCAAACAAGTGCTTGTTGCCCTACACGGCCCAGATTCACTTGAAGCAGAAGTTAGCATCCTGGGCCCGTTTGTTCTTTTGGAACCCAGAGTCTTTGAGGGTGAGGTTATCTGTCTGATAATGAGCAGAAACAGAATGATCCTGGAGCTTTGCTTTCTATTGAAGGCTTTTGACGGTAATAGGTGGTAACTTGGTAAAAGGCTGCCTTTACTGTAGCTCATCCAGCGTCTCTTTTACCAACCGGAGAGTGTGAAACTAGTTTCGTATATTACCTAGTTATTCTTTCAAAACAAAAACAAAAAACAAAAAAACAAAAAAACAAAAACTGACGCACTGCACTAGTTATTATTAGATATTCTTAGTCTTTTTTGTACATGGAGATTTAAGTTCTAAGATGGTTTATATAATAGGTTATACCTACATTTATATTGTAGAATAATATTAAAAAGCCTGTTCCAGAGACCCCCAAGCAGCACGGGCAGGCACATGTACCATTGTTAGCGGTGTATGCTCGGCCTCGTGGTCCATATATTCTGCACTTTTATATTTGCCACCAGAGTGGTAGTTTGCTGGTGAAAAGGAAGAGAGAGAGAGAGAGAGAGAGAGAGAGAGAGAATTACAATTCTTACAAGCTGAGTTTTTTTCTTAGCCTTGAGTGACTAAGAAGAATTTGCTTGGGGCAAATTGTGGCAAATATTTTCCCAGACAGGGGAAGAGTCCTACAGATTACAGATTACTGATGTTTTCATGCCTTGAGGATTCTTTTATTTTTACACAGGGGTCTATGTGACCAATGGATCGTTCATACAAACAAAAAAAGAAAAATATTATTCAGAAGTGACCTTAGTATTACTTCACTATCCTAAACACATTGAAGACACTCACTTCATGTGGACTTTGAGCTACAGACCTTTTACATCCATCCCAGACAGACTGGACGGGTAGCAATTGCTATGCACAGCCTAATTGGCACTGCAGGTTTTTAGAGCCATTTTGAGTTGATGTTGTCAAGGAGGTGTTGAATGAATAAATGCCGAGGGAGGGATGCCTGACCAGAGTGGGATTCTTAGTCACAGATCCACCTGCAAGTTTGTTTCCTTTTTGTTTTGTTGCTTTCGGACATAAAACCAACCATACATATGCCAGTGCCAAGTGGATTACCTGGCTTATCTGAACATTCGACATACCCACTTAACCACCTGACATTCACAGTGTCTTGTTTCCTAGCAACACATGCAAAGTGATAAATCAAAATTAGTCGGAGGCTACCGAGTTTACAGGGTATTTGTTCCATAGCACAAAGTAGATCCCCACTCTTGCATCACAGCACAAACTACCAAATTTTAATTATTGGATTCCAGCAATAATTTTTATTGGTTTTCAAACTGGCGGAATTTTGATAGCGTTAGTTCGAGTTTGAAGCTTTTGAATTAGATCTCTAAATGATGACAGTTTACAAGGTTTTATCTAGCTTTCTTATTTATACTTGACTGAATTGTAATGATGATTTTTTTTTTTCTAATCGTAATCTGACCTAATAGCCATACAAAAAACGACTCTATTAGTACTGACTAGATTTAGCTTTTCATAGTTGTAGATATTACTTCAGTTTCGGTGCTGGAAAATATGTACAACATACTAACAATTGAAAAGAATATAGGGATTTGTTTGGGTTGTTTTTTTCTTCAAAGCAGGTAAAGAGGACAGCAGAGCATTGGAATGGTGTCCTCAAAAATGCATAAACATTGTGGGCGTGGAGGAAGAAGGATTTAGAAAGCTAGTTAGTCCGAGGTTAAAGCTTAACCCCATTCACGTAGAAATAAATCAGGTGAGCAGCCCCAGATTTTAGCATAATATTTTTACTATGATGCTGTTTTATTAATATTTTCTAAATTTCAAAACACAAAGTGAATGTTTGAAAATTGCTGGGTCCCAATGTTGGTGGCTGTTGGAGTTTTTGGACCACTTGCTAGCAGTGATTTAAAAATTATAATTAGCTAAAAATCCAAAAACAAAACAAAATGAAACAAAACAAAAACCAACAACAGAAATTGTTTGGTGCAGAACATGCACCTTGACAATGGTACTAACTTGTTATTCTCTAGAACACGTTAGAATAGATCTATTTTTGCCAGAGCACCGTCCTTCAATCCTCCAATTACATTTCACTAGATTTCCTTAAGAGATTGCTGTATATTCATGGGACCTTTTTTAAAAAGAAGCAAAACAAAAGATTACTTTTTTCTATGTGATTAATATCTTACTTGATCTGCTTTTCCTAAACCTCAGTGGCTTTTCCCTTAGGCAGGGGTGGGGTGGGAGGGCAACCTACTGGATATGACTGTTTTCAGATACTTAAAAAAACAAAAAACACACACAAAAAAAAAACTTTTTGTAGAAATGCTTAATTTTTAAGCGGTTAGGCACTGAGAGTAGCAGAAATCCTGCAAAGCTTTATAGTCCTTTAGACACTCGCCTTGTTTCTCTGAGTGAAGTCTTGATTTCAATACTAGTGCTTTTCTCATGCCCTGAATCCGCTGGTAAGGGGTGTTGGCATTTTCAGGTAACAATATTTGTTAGCACAGATATTCCCAACCAACATGTAGTGCCCCCCCCATCTACCATTTTCATTTCATTTATCTTATTCTTTTATATTTTGGAAAATCATATTGCTATGGTGTGTACCTTAATCTGCCAGCAAACACCATTGACACTAACATTTGTCCCACAAGCATCCTCAAGAGAAGTTCTTGCACCTTATGTATATCTCAAGCAAACCAAAATACGATGCCTGCTTTGTTTTATTCTAAATTGTTGTATCATATCTTTCTGAAAAACCATTCTGAATCTAGTTGAAATTATCGATATTTATGCTTTTAACCTTAATTTCTGGATTCAAACCTGTATATAAATCTTTTGAAAAAAATTGTCCTAGCCCTTCTCTGTGATGCCGAAGTGGATGATTTAGTCTCAGATGGAGACGCAGTACTGTTCCAGTTTTCTTTAGCCTTTTATTTATTTAGTTGTTCTGGGTATTTTCCTATGTAATTTTGAAGTGTGTAGAGTATATTATAGTAACTGAAGCTGCAGCTGTAAGAAGCTGAGTGAAAGAAAAAAAAAATACTGTAAGACATCCTTTTTAAGTTTTTATTTGTTTGGATAACTGTAAGGAGATCAGGAGAAGGAAACAACGTCCCACAGCCACATTGACGATACAGGTTCTTATCCCCAGATTAGGTTAGTTCCCAGATTTTAGATCAAACTGTAATTCATCAAAGCCCTTTTATAAGGATGAATCATACTGTTGTAATTCTGACAGTCTTTTTCCCACAAATACCAGAACTATGTTTGTTTAATTCTGTCAGAAGAGCTTTCTACCAATGCCATCTCAAAGCCATGCTGAAATCATTCCCATATTATCACTGATTCTGGTTCCTGCGATGGAACACTCCGAACAAAAAGGAGCATCTGAACTGGTCCGGTTATTTATATTCCAACATGTTTATTCCCTATCACTTTCTTAGCAAGTCAGATGCTACTCCGCCTAAGTCATTTCATAAAATTTTGTTTGCACTCTGCAGTCTTTGGCTCATCGTATGGAAAAGTTTGCACCTATGTAAAATCTCAAGCAAATTATAAATTGATCCAGAACCAGGAGTAAGCTGGAAGCTGACACGTTTTGTTTATACAGTGTGGGAGGGAGGGAGGGTATCGAATAGCTCTGTTCCAAGTTTGGCGTTTGGCATTAATGTGAAGCAGTGGGACCATGCTGCCTGCTAAACTACTGTATGAATCCCAAGTGTTCTGGAGACCAGCAGCTGGAGCTGGAGGCCGGCACCCACCCAGCAGAGGAGAAGAGCCACCGTGGCCTCGCTGGGGAGAAGGCAGGAAGTCCCGCCAGGCCTGGAATCAGCATTTGCAAAGGGAAAGTCGGGGTGTCCGTGATGCTGTTGAGGAGACTCACCTTTGATTGCACTGCTCCATAGAGCCCTCACATAAGGCCAATTCTAATGGGCTACCTCGGCTTTAAAAGTTAATTTCAGTAAGTCCTGTTTCAAAGGTCTGTCTTTTTTTTTTTTTTTTTGCTTCTACCTTCAGTGCCACTGTTTCCCACTGCAGTGTTTTGACTTCCCAAACCACCTTCTCCAGAGAGAACAATGTATTGCTGAAAATGGGCAGCAGAAGCAAATGTCATTATTACATTTGACCTATAAAGTATTCAGAGTGACTGCTAGGTGGAAATGAAAATTTAGCTCTCCCCACATAGGACCTTGTTTTGCACCTTATAAAGAGTGTACTAATTGTTAATTAGATGTTGCTTTTATTTATACAAGCATTCCCAAAGAGTTAGATTTGGATTTTGTTCTTACTTGAGTTTTGGGGGTTTTTAAAACTCATCTTATTTAGATTAACTAACATCATACTCACGTTAAGAAACAAGTTGTTCAGTTTATCTTACCAGATATGTCTGGTGAAGTATTCAGGGTTTGATGGACTGCTTTGCTTTAGTTTGGAAGTGATAGCTAAGTTTATTTTACTCCATATTAAATCACCTTGTCCTTTTCACTGGGGACATTATTTTCTTTCTATTTCGGATCAAAGAAGTGACAACAAAAATAGTGAACAACAAGACAAATATATTTGATTCCCCCGATACAGCTCCATCTGTGCTATGCTTTCCTTAAAAAACATAAGTACACATTTTCTTCACACACAAAAAATGCAAGTTTCGTCTCCTGGCCAAATTTTGTTTGCGATGGTAGGATTTATACTAATAAGTTGAAGGAGGAAACCGTCTACTAAGTTCTCTGGCCACTGTTATCTTGTTGCAGTCAGTGGTCAGAATTGATCCTGCCCTCAATTGGTTTTTGTGCACAGAACTAGTTGTCATGAAAATTACTAC